GTGGACGCCATGATGAGTAGAAACGCCCACTGGTGCTTCGAAACGACGCTGCACACCTGCGACGCATCATGCGGTTTGAGACGCACGTGCCTCACCATCACCACAGACGCCCACGCGCCGTCGGTACGCCCTACATCGTCAAGGAAACAGAGGATACGTCAGGGTGGCAGCAAAGCACCCGCTGGCAATTCACGTCGCAGGCATCACCACAAGCAGCTCCAGCAGCGCTGCAGACCGTGGGGTGCCGTGGATCAACTGACGCATGGCGTATGTGGAAAAGAAAAGGACGTGGTGGCTTTACAAGGATACGAGTGGCTGACACTTTTAGAAGGAAAAAGAAAACAATGTGAGAACACACAAAGAGGAATCAGGCGTCCGCAGTCAAAGCAAACCAGCAATCAAAAAAAGCAAGATGGGTGCACTCAACCACAACACAGGCAGAGGATAAAAAATACCAACAACAAAAGCCGAAGCGTGGGGGGGTCCACCCAGCAGTGGGGACGCGCAGCAACAGGTGGGACGACCAGCGCACACACTCTCATTGCTCCCGTAAAGCAAAACACACACAGGGAGAGAGAGAAAGGTCGCCCACTCAATGCAACGGAAACACAAAAACAGAAACAGTTACGGTGCTCCGCCCATGCAGCCAGGCAGGACGGCAGCGGTGCGTGTCGTGCAAAAGAGAGCACCAACGGCCCTGCATGGGTGTGCATGCATATATACAATGGGCACATTATGTGTGTGCTTCGTGGGGTGAGGTGAGGGCGAGAGTCCATGCAAGGGGACACACACAGAGAGAGAAGGAAGAGTGTGTGTGTGGGTGGTGCATGGCTCTCTCTCACTCACTCTCACGCGGCCACCACCGCAGCCGCAGCCGCACACGCAACAACAAGAAGCAAAAGAGGGGAGGTGGTGTGGGACACCGCGGTGCTGCCGTCACTGTCGCCAGGCATATCCGTTTCACCTGTTTTGGCGTTTGTGGTGGGCGCTGTTGTGGATCCCGCACTCTGAGAGACCGTATCGTATTTGTTGGCTGATGCAGCTTCACCATCGGAAATACTTCCGAGTGGTGTGTCGCCGTCAATGGAGGGTCGGTTCGGATGATTGTTGGTTGGAGTGCCTTCTGTGCCAGTGTCAAACTGCATGGCCGTAGCTGCCGTGGTGCTGCTGCCGCTGTTGCTCTTCGTTGTTGCACCACGCATTTCTTCAACCGTCATAACCGGCAATCGTGAATCTTCCTCTCCACCCGTTGGAGCGACAACTTTTTCGCCGGCGTCTTTGTTCTGTTCAATGTCTTCTGCGACAGACTGCTGAGAATTCCTCGTGCCATTGCCGTTTTCGTGACTTTTCTCGTCACCACGGCCAGCTGCAGATGTGGATGATGGGTTTCCATCCGCTGCGCTGTTGGGTAATGGAAGCTGCAAGGGACTCGGCAAATCTTGTTTACCTTTATTTACTTGCAAACTGTCTTCTGATGGTGTTATCGTTTCAGCTTCATGAGTGCCATTCAATGATGGTGGCTGTAAGCCTTCGTTGTCATGCGACTGCCGGTCCTTCACTGATATCAGCTTGTTTTCAGGCTCTTTCACCTCTTGACTTGTTCCATCACCTTCCTTTTCCTTTTCAACCAATTTTACATCTTCGTTTCTTCTTGCTTTTTCTTCCTCGGCAGCGCCTTCGGTTCCTGAGACAGTTACTTCAGGAGGTGGTGAGAGAGCTTGTCCTTGAACATTTGGTAGTGGTGTTTCTGGGCCTGCTGTGTGAGATCCTGGCGTTTCAGGGCGCGGTGAATCCTGTGAATCTACACCTTCCCCCACAAGATCACCGGACGCATCAGACTGAAAACCTGCGGATGCCTCTTCACAACCTCCGTCGGCACCGCACCAGCAGCACGCAGAGGGCACACACCAGCAGCACACGGCCAGCCATCATCATCGCCATCACTCCTGTCACTTGCCTGCAGCCTTCAGCACAAACCAACTTCCCGTCAACGCAGAGCGGAGGCAAAAGGAGAGACACGGCCGCTACACCACGCACAGCCACCGCACAGTCACAAATGGCAGCAGCCCAGCAGCGGCAGCGCACACACACCATGAGGCAGTTGAAATCAGTGAAAGGGCAAAAACACACAACGCCCCGCAGCAAGCAAACAGAAAACACACAAAACAATTAGAAACAAAACACAGCTAAACAAACAGCAATGAAGCAAAAAATGTGAACACACAAAACAAAGGGCTGCACAGTATGGCTCCAGCGCGCACGCACCCATCCTCAAATGCGACTCCACGCAAACAGTTGTGTGCGTGCCATGCATATGAGTGTGTCTGGGGTGCGTTCAACGTGACGGATGCGGGGAGCGGCAAGGAGCACACAGCAGGGCAGCGGAAGCAAGTGAAGCAAAACACAATCATTGGTTTATCCTGTTTAGTACATCGGACCACAGCAGACGCACACAAGTCCCCGCGGTTGAGTGCTGGCACGCACAGCCC